ATGATGTCGTATCAATTCCATGATTATGTTATGTTATATGGCAAAAGGGATTTTTCAGATGAATTAAGGTCTCAACCTTAAAATATGAAGGTTATCCTGGTTGGGTCAAGCCCAATCAGGTGATCCCCTTAAAAAGGGCACCAAACTCTTCCTCGTGAAAGAGATTGCAAAATGTGTGAGGGATCCACTCGAGATTTTCCATTGCTGGCATTGGAGATGGAGGGGGCCATGTAGCAAGGAATGCAGCAACTCATAGGAGTTGAGAAGGTCCCTGGCTAACAGCAAATGAGGAAGCAGGGAATCTCAGTCCTCCAACCACAAGGAACTGAATTGTGCCACAACCACATAGACATGAAAGAGAACCCCCGGCCTCTGATGAGAGTGCACCTCGATTTTAGCCTGTGAGACCTTGAGCAGAAGACATCACCACGTGCACCCAGACGTCTGGCCTGCAGAGCTGTGTGTTAAGTAGTTTTGTTATAAGCCACTAAATTTGTAGTCACTTGTGACACAGTACTATAATTTTAATATTTTCCCTCCAAATTCATGTTAACACTTAATTTCCAATGTGACAGCATTGAGAGGTGGGACCTTTAAGAGATGATTGGGTTATAAGGGGTCTGTTCTTATGAATGGATTCATCCATTCATGGATCCATGGTTAATAGGTTATCATGGAAGGGAGACTGGTGCCTTGATAATAAGAGAAAGAAAGACCTGAGAGAGCACGTCGGCATGCCCAGCCCCCTCTCCATGGGAAATCCTGTTCACCCTGGGGACTCTGCAGGGAGTCCTCACAGCAGGAAGGGCCTCACCAGCTGCATCCCCTTGGTTCTGGACTTCTCAGCCTCCAAAACTGTAATAAATAAGTTTCTTTTCCTTATAAATTACAGTTGTAATTTATAATTTTAAATTATCTTTCCAGATATCCTATTCTAAGCAACAGAAAATGGACTAATATGCACAGCAATAGAAAATGAATATTCTATTTTACCAGAGTTATGCCAGATATTAGCATTGGAGAAAACTGGGTAAAAAATAGGCAGAACCTTTCTGCAGAATTTTTTTTTGCAACTTTCTATGGCCCTATAATTATTCCTTCTAAAAAAGAAATGCGTAAAAGGGAGATTGTGTATTCTTGTCAAATACATGTAAAACAGTGACAGAAATTGACTATGTGTTAAGCCTCAAGAACGTTTTAAAATTTTCAGGAAGCAGAAATCACACAAATCTTAATCACTGACCACAATGAAGAAATTATTTAATTAATAAAATATTGACAATGAAAAATAACAACAAAAGAAAAAAATCAAATACATTTCTTAATAATTATTGAATTAAGAAAGAAAACAGACTGGGAGCAGAGGCTCACACCGATAATCCCAGTATTTGGGGAGGCCTGGATAGGAGGATCTTGAGCTCAGGAGTTTGAGACCATCTGGGCAACATGGTGAAACTCTGTCTCCACAAAAGATACAATATAGCCAGGCATGGTGGCATGCACCTGTAGTTCCAGCTACTTGGGAGGCTGAGGGAGGATGATCACTTGAGCCCCAGAGGTCAAGGTTGCAGTGCAGTGAGACATGATTATGCCACTGCACACCAGCCTGGGCAACAGAGCAAGACCCTGTCTCAAGACCAACAAAACAAAACAAAACAAAGAATAAAAAGAAAGAAAACAACTGCAAGCTACTCGGGAGGCTGAGGCAGGAGAATGGCGTAAACCCGGGAGGCAGAGCTTGCAGTGAGCTGAGATCCGGCCACTGCACTCCAGCCTGGGCGACAGAGCGAGACTCCGTCTCAAAAAAAAAAAAAAAAAAAAAAAAAAAACGAACAGTAAACAGAAATAACAAGAGCACCATGATGTGTCTATGTATAGTGGCATTCTGAGGGAGTAGCCTTGACTACATTTACAAGAAAACAGGAAAGACTGGAAATAATTGAGTTATGTTTTCACCTTGAGAAGCTAGAAAAAGAAAATCAAAATAAGCTCAGGAAAGGAATTAGTAAACATGAAAGCATACATTAATGAGATCAAAAGCAAACAACAGCAACAAAAATGTAGAATTGGTAAACAGAGCAAAGGCATGTAAACATTCAAAATGTCAAAGGACAGGATGTGACTTTAAGAGCCTTAGAAAAGAGAACTGTATTAAAACACCAACATTTTACAAAGCCATGTAAAACAAATGGTTTCCTCTAAAAATAAAAATGATCAAAATTAGAAAAGAAAAAAAAAATGAAAGTACCATACAGACCAATCTCCATAAAAATAAAGGGAAAAGACATGCCAAGATTTGCACCCGAAAACAGCCTCAGGTCCAGGAGTTTTCCTGGCAAATTCTATAGGTATTTGCAATTTATATAAGCAGTGTCAGAGGATAGAAAAGGAGAGAAAGCTGCCTTCAACTGAAAGCTAAAATAATAATTGCAGAAGTTTAAAAACTAAAAGACTGCAAGTAAGATAATTGCATATCGAATTCTGAATGCATCGGAAGCATAATACCTCATAACAACTAGAGTTTGTCCCAAGAATGCTAGAATGACTGAAGTTTAGAAAATCCACTGATATACCTTATTATATTAACAGATTAATAGAGAAAAACATAAGATTACCTCAATAAACACCAGAACATTATTTGCTATAATGTTCCTCCATACGTACAACCATAGCACAAACTCAGAATTATTTAATAATCTTAAGCAAAGGAAGTCCTAAGCACGACATGAAATCCTGAAGCCATTAAATAAAAATTTCATTCATTTTACTGTGTTAAAATATGCACGGCTTTTATATGATGTATACCACACCAAAGCAAGATATTCACAGTAGAGGAAACTGTGGAGATAAGCGGGGAGAGTGGGTATACAGGAACTCTGAACTTTTCAATTTTTCTGTAAACCTAAAACTGCTCTGAGAAATAAAGTTTATAAGCAAAGAGGAACAAAAAACAACAAAATAGATAAAATACTTGAAATATATTTGACATGAAGGCTTAACATCTTAATCTATAAAGAAATCAGGACCGGGCACGGTGGCTCATGCCTCTAATCCCAGCAGAGGAGGAACGCTTGAGGCCAGGAGTTCGAGACCAGCCTGGGTAACATAGCGAGATCCCATATATAAAAAAAAAAATTAAAAATTAGCTGAGTGTGGTTGCGTGCTCCTGTAGTTCTCACTACATAGGAGAATCACTTGAGACTGAGAGTTTGAGGCTGCAGTGAGCTATGATGGCACCACTGCACTCCAGCCTGGGCAACAGAGCTAGATCCTGTCTTTTAAAAAGAAAAGAAAAAGAAAAAAAAGAAAATGAAGATATATACTCTCTGTAATAATATTCAAATTGTACCTGAGGTCCTATCCAATGCAATAAGATGGGAAAAATATAAATGTTGGAAATGACTTAAAATAGTTATTATTTTACAAATGATATAATTTTCCATTTAGAAAAATCCAGAAGAGAATCCACTGAAATATTATTAGAAATTTCTTTTTATTTTATTAGAAGATTTATTTATTTATTATTAGAAGTTTAGCTGGGTCGCCAAGTAGAAGATTCACATACAGAAACCAATAGCTTTCTCATGCATCTGCCAAAACCAATCTAAAAGTGCAACTAAAACATTCAAAATAGCCACAGAATTTCAAAATATACAGGAATAAACATGGAAAAGAAACACATCAGACCCATGTGAGGAAAATTATAAACTTTACTGAAGGATATAAAGTAAATTCAAACAAAGGGGAAGATGCAGTATAAAGGTGTCCGTTTTCCCATAAATTAAAAGCTAAATTTGGAGAGATGCCTATCATATTGGCAATGTTATTTTTGTTGTTGTTTGTTTGTTTACTTTGCAAGCTTATTCTAAAATTTATGTACAGAAAAAATATCCAAGATAAACAAGAAAATTTTGGTAAGGAATGATGGGGACACTGCTCAGTCTATAGAAAGGAAATAGAGGAGGCCACTGCATGGGAAAAGATACTCAACTTCACTAATAATTAGAGAAATGCTAAATAAGAAAATAACAAGGTCCCTTTTTTCCCCTTAAATATCCTTAAATATTTAAATGATAATGTGAAAGGGGAAAAACAGAAATTCACAGATACTGTTAGTAGGAGTTCAATTGGTCCAGTCTTTTTCAAAACCAATGGCATTATTTCTCAACACTTTGTGCATTACTGTCAACCAGGCATTAACAAAGTAACTTTTCAGAGTCTGTCCACTCCAGAGGTTCAGGGAAACATGTATCCAGAGAGGCTGATCAAGCACGTTCATGTACCACTGTGTCTAACAGCAAAAACACTAGAAATTATTCAAATGTCTATTAAGATAATTATTTAAAACAGAGTGAATTTGTATTTGGAAATATAGGTAGTGATTTTTTAAAAAATCAGTCTATTCTTATAACACTGCAAGAATTCCAAGACACATTATTAAGTATCAAAAGAAAGCTGTAGAAGGTCAGGTGCGGTGGCTCATGCCTGTAATCCCAGCACTTTGGGAGGCCAAGGTGGGAGGATCACTTGGGGCCAGGAATTCAAGACCAGCCTGGCCAAGAAGGTGAGACCTCATCTCTACTAAAAATAGAAAAATTACTCCAGCGTGGTGATGCACACCTGTAATCCCAGCTACTGGGAAGGCTGAGGCAGGAGAATCACTTGAACCCAGGAGGTAGAGGTTGCAATGAGTCGAGATCGTGCCACTGCACTCCAGCTTGGGAGACAGAGACTGTCTCAAAAAAAGAAAAAAAAGAAAAAAGTAGAATATTTTGCACTGTGTAACATAGTAATGTTAAAAATTTATGTGTTAATGCAGATGTATATGCTTGTAAATGCAGATTAAAAACAAGTAGTTAACTTACTTCTGAGGACGTACAGGATTGGAGATGTGGTGAAATCAGGAGGACTTTCGTTTCCTCTGTATGGTTTGAAATTTCAAAATGAAAATGTGACCATATATTAAGGATGTACTTTTTAAAATTCCCCAAAAGTAAATGTGGCCATCGAAAAGTTTATTTACACATGCGTATGTCATCACATATTTATTTCACAAAGATCTGAATGCTTTTTGACCTTATAAAAATCATAAAAGCACTTAAAAAATTAAATAGTAGTGCTGGATCAGAAAACGTATGCTTTTAGGATGTCTGATGAAATACCAATATTAAAAATTCATCAAAAATCTTCTGAGAGGATTAGGACTCCAGTGAAGAAATAACCTTTTTGTCAATAGTGAACCTTACCTTGGGCTTCTTTTTCAAAAACTCTGTATATCTTCGCTCAGGAAGAAATGTTAAAGTGTTCCATATCTCTTTATAGCATCGTGGAAAGCGTCTGAAACTTGAGACCACCACGGCTTCTTTATGCACATATGATATTTGGTTATTTGAAAAGCCATCAAGACAAGATGGAACATAGTCACATGCCCAGAGATTAAAATTTCTTGAAACATGTTGCCTCTTATCTGGAGCGATCTTCTTACGTCCCAGGCCCTGGAGAAGAATTACAAGATTAGAAGGAAAATATTCAAGGTCACATAGTTTTTTGCTTGTTTGTCTGTTTGTCTGTTTGTTTGTTTGTTTGTTTTGAAACAGAGTCTTTGTCTGTCACCCAGGCTGGAGTTAAGTGGCACGATCTCAGCTCACTGCAACCTCTGCCTCCCGGGTTCAAGCAATTCTCATGCCTTAGCCTGCTGAGTAGCTGGAACTACAGGTGGATGCCACCATGCCTGGCTAAGTTTTTGTATTTTTAGTAGAGACAGGGTTTTGCCATGTTGCGCAGGTTGGTCTTGAACTCCTAAGCTCAGGCAATCTGCCCACGTCAGCCTCCCAAAGTGCTAGGATTACAGGCGTGAGCCACCGTGCCCAGCCTCAGTCACATAGTTCTGAGGTCTTTGTTAAAATCAGTTACTTGACATGTATATGTTGAAATGCACCCTATGATGACTGTCTCGAGGTCTCCTTTACCAACCTGTTGAAGGTTATGAACTGACACTCACAAAACCCTGGCGGGGTTCTGTTATTGTCCTCACAGTCTTCTGGTGCCACCAAGGAGCCTGGGCTTTTAGAGATATGGAAGGCAGAACCAGAGGGAATTCAGCCAGAAACACCTTAGGGACCCAGGTAGGTTCCCTTTGCCCCAACATCGCCGACCCTCCCTGCTCCCCAGCACTCGGTGGGACCAATGATGACTCTTTCTCTGAAAAGTCTGAGGAGGTCGAATTCTTTCCCATCCCTAAGGGCTCCCCTGAAGGACCCAGCACCTTTGGGTACTGGCTCACCGGCTTCCTCATTCACTCTCAGCACCTTACATGTGAACCTAATAATTACTGTGTACTCAAAATTGTACATTCTGTTTGATCACAACTAGGTGAAAACCAAGAACAAAAACTCTATACTGACATGAACGACTGAGAGGAAATGGATGTTACATTACATAGACTTCACATCAGTAAAGTGAGGTTTCTGTGATGAAGGGTCAATGTCAGATTCGCAGCAGGAGATGCAAGGCACATTTCAATTAGAGTAATTTGAGGACAGTCTATAAAGGGACTATCTACATATGTGTGGGTATGTGTAGGGACACCCCGAGGGGCTGTGCAATGGCTCCAGGACTGAGGGGACTGGGGAGGAATGTACTCCACATAGATCAGCCCCCCGGAACCAGAGTGGGGAGAAGAGGAAGAGAGTGGCACTAGAGGAACAAGTGTATGACGCAGGGCACAAAGTCCAAGTCAGCTTCTAAAGAATGACTTGAGAATACTCCAGCAAATTGAAAAACAAGTAAAAGAAAGGCATGATGAAAATAGGGGAAAGAGCTTCAAGGGAAGTAGCAAGTAAAATTTATGGATGAAATCTAAATGCTTGCTAATAATGTGACTATGAAATGTATTGAATTGTACAAATTCACAAAATGGAAAGGAGGGAGGGAAACAGAAAGACAGACAGAAAAGAATTTACAACTAAAATTCCAGGATTTCAACTTGATTAGGGAAATGAGGGCCACGTCTCTGAGCTCCCAGCTGAAGTCCAGGAATGGCACCTACAGAACTTGGAGGATACAACCTGGCCACCAATACAGCAGCCCTGAAGCAGGAAGTGAGATACAGCATGCTGGAAGACTTACCTTATTCTTGGGGAAAAGCTATAGTTACTAATTTTTATACATAGAGTAATATAGTGTTAATATAATTGTTAAATATTTATACTTGAGGGCAAGTACTCGTAGAACATCAATAGAAGTCAGAGTGAACAAAAAAACTCAATCAGTCTAGCAAAGTCATGAGAGGAAGAAAAAAAGAAACAAAATATAAGCATAATAAATAGGAAACATAAAAGTGAGATGGCAGAAATAAAACCAAAAGCATAAAATGTCATAATAATGTGAATGGGCTAAATTCTCACATAAAGAAATAGATTCTTGGATTTTTTTAAAAAACTATGCTGCATTCTACTTATCATAGAAGACAAACGCAAAGCAAAGTGACTACAAATTATGGAGACAAAGGAATGGGCTACAACATAAAGAACAAACATTAGCAAAAAGAGAGTAATAGTGACAATGCTAGTATCATAACGTAGATAGAATTCATGGCTGAAAGCATTAACGCGTATAAAGAGAAACACTTTATATTGATAAACGGCAAAAGCCATCATGAAAATAAAACAACAAAAATTTTTGATGCAGAAAGATATGGTATTAAACTACATAGGCAAAAAAAACTTTAGAATCTCAAGAATAATCTTAGAAACAGAAATTGACAGATCAATACAAAAATTAAGACAAGCATGAGAAAGGTTTAAATAATTCGCAGTCCTAAATTAATAAATATAAAGAACTTTGTAACCAACATGGGGGAATATATATTATTTGTAAACAGCCACGACACACTTGTTAAAGTTAATCACATACAAGACAACAAAGATAATCTCATATTTCAAAAAGTGAAAATCTTAGATTATACTCTTTGAAATTTACCATAACCCATAAAACTAGATATTAGCAATGAATAGATTATTTCTAAAATTTTTAACCATATAGATAATTCAAAACATTCTTCCAATTTTTTTAGGAAAAGGGAAATTAAAAATTAAAGCATAGGCTATTTGAAAGCAAATAATAATGAGACCTTAATTGGAAAAACCTTTGGGATGTAGTCAAACCAATAATCTTAAAGACTACTTATAGTTTTAATAAATTATTAACAAAAACAATTGCAAGTATGTGAACTAAACATTCAACTGAAAAAAAATTTTTAAAGGAACAACAAAATAAGACTATTTTGAGAGATGTTATACCAGTACATTTGAAATGAATTAGATAAATTTTAGGCAAATATATATCAGCAAAATCTACCCAAGAAGAGGTAGAAAGTTTGAATAGATTAATAATCAAGAACAAAAGAAAAAGTAATAAAAAACTTACTCTAAAAAATATATCAAACCCAAGTTATTTCATAGGCAAATTCTGTCTAACCTTCATTAAACTGAAAATCCAAATGTTATATAAGCTATTCCAGAACATAGAGAAAGTTGGAAAGCTTCCAAGGTTTTCTAGAAGACCATCATAACCTTAGTAAAATACAAGTGGTACAATCCTGTTTATACCATTAACAAATATACATTTATGTGTGTACATTTGCATGTGAATTGGAAAAAGTCTCAAATTTTACCCACAAAACCATTACTAGCAGTGAATCATCAAGGTCAGATTGTGAGGAGGGAAAATAAGGGTGTGAATTTATTTTTAATTTTATATAATTCTGTATTATTTCAGTTTTTAAAGGACATACGTTGCTTTGATTATTTGAAAAACAATATTAAGCACTCCATTTACAGAAGCAGGCCAAGTGGGTATTCTGGTTCTGTTTTCAACATTCTGCCAGAAGAAAACCAGATTTTTCGGGTTAAGGCACTTCTATTTAGTTAAGACATTGTAGTCTAGAAGAAAGAGGGATTTGGGGCAAGTTGTTTAACTTTACTGGATCTCAATTTGCTCATCTCTAAATTGAGATGATAAGTGTAGTGAGCCTGTAGGATTGTTGTGAGGATTGAATACAATAATACGAGATGTTGGAATATGGCAGGTGCTTTCTAAATGGTGGGCCATTAATAACATCTTCATCATGGACTTTCAGCTTCCATGAGGATTTGCAGATATCACTTGATGCAGCTTTCTACCTAATAGGTTTCCCTGTGCTGTGCAGTCTGGTAGCCCCGAGCCACATGTAGCCACTGAGCGCTTGAAATGTGAGTTGTCTAAGTTGAGATGTTATGTAAGCGTAAAATACCACCTAGATTTTAAAGACTCGGTTTGGAAGGAGGAATGTAAAATATCTCATTAATTTTTTATATTGATTACATGTCGAATGGACAATTTGGAGAATTATTGGGCTAAATAAATTATTTTTGTTTGCTTGAGATAGGATCTCACTCTGACACCCAGGCTGGAGTGCAGGGTTCGTGGTCATAGCTCACTGCAGCCTTGAACTCCTGGGCTCAGGTGAACCTCCTGCTTCAATCTTCTGAGTAGCTGGGACAACAGGCATGCACCACCACACCTGGCTAATTTTTTAATGTTTTGTAGACACGGGGTCTTACTAGGTAGCCCAGGCTGGTCTCAAGCTCCTGACCTCAAATGATCCTCCCACCTCAGCCTCCCAAAGTGCTGGGATTTCAGGGGTCAGCCACTGCTCCCAGCCAATAAAATATGTTATTAAAGTAAGTTTCACCTGTTTCTTTGTACTTAATGTAACCACTAAAACGTTTAAAATTATGCATACAGTTTGCATTACATTGCTATCACATAGTGCTGTGTTAACCACCATTGTGTCAGACTTCATGTTCTTCAGTGAAGGAGAACTCACCACCTGCTGAGAAAAGGCAACTCCAGTCACGAGGAAATCCTTCCTTCTATTATGTAAGCTCCTCCTCCTTCTGACCTTTCCTTGTGGATCCTGGCTCTGCTATCCAGAGATACGCATAGCAGTCCCTCCTTCCCATGGCAGATCCTCACAAGAAAGCTTGCAAAAGAGACAATTTATGGGAAGGCACTTGGAGAAGGATGAAGCGCACACACACCTAGGCAGAACACTGGTGTAGATCTTGAAAGCGGCGTGGAATTCTGAGAGCTTCCAACATTTTTTTTAACCTGTTATGAGTCTTGTTTAAGATCTCGCTTTGTTTTGACCTTGTTCCAGTTTTGAGGCCAGTCCTCTATCTTCAACACACCCCAGAAAATCAAGATCCCTTGTGTTGTTCCCTGTTTTATTAATAATTTGGAAAGAAATACTCACGGAGTCAAGGTAGCATCCAGAGTTCTCCAAACTGTGCCGATTGTCATGCACGGAGAAGGGGAACTGGTTATTCACTGCTTGCTGGAAAAGTGGGATGGAAGAGAAAGGGCACACATTAGAACCCGGCTTGCTTTCAGAACTGGGATCCGGTGATGTGGAAGGAAGATGGATGAGGCAAAGTAACCTCTAAGAAAGACAATGAAACCTGGCCCCCGAGATGGAGCAGATACAGGACAGGGAGGATATCCACGTGCTCTTCAGCCCCGGGGCTTTGAAACCCCACCTTATTTCCAGCTTCCTGAAAGTCATAAAAATTCTCTTTCAAAACACCTTATTTGGAGGCAAGGATGGAAAAGCGTATAGGCTCACAGAGCCAAAAGCTGGGAAGGACTTTTGAGGCTATGGAGACCAACTCCGTCATCTGGCCAGTAGGAGTCCCAGGAGATGAGAGCCCTGTCCGAAGGCCTCACTCGGGGGGACCCTGGCAGGTGTGAAATGGACCCTTGCTTCTCCTTCGTGCCACTGCAGGGCCTTGAAGTTGCTCAGGAATTGGCCGGGGAGGCAGGAGGTGCATGTTAATGAGCTGTGGGCTGGAAGGATGTTGCTTCCTGTTCATGGAGGAGCCTGACTTGATTGTCCGTAGCAGGAGGTAGTTCCTGCTGGAGAGCACCAGGGTACGGGGTGGGGACACTACCAACCCTTAGGGTCCGAGGATAGTAAATGCGCAGTTTCTTACAAGGAACAATTGCTTGGCCCAACGTGCCAGCCTTGCTGCCCCCTGGGAGGTCCACAGGAGCCCATGGCTGTGGCCAGTGTTCAGGACTCACCTTCTCCCGGACTTTGTATATGGGCGGCAGCTTCCCCTCCACTTGCCAAGGTGAGTGTGGACTCTGGGGCTCTTTTAACATAGTCCTGGTGTTGGATTCTGATGTCTTTTGCGTTAGCCCGATGTGAGGGAACTGGAAGAACAGCACACGCCTTGATTAAAACCAGACACATTCGAATCTACAAGCCAAGTATCAGGGCTTCCTCTGTACAGTGATTAAAATGCAATTTGGGTGCTTTTGGCATGCAATGGAAATGGCATAATTTTTGTAATTTTCAAGTATTCTTTCCAAGACAAAAAACATTGTAATGGCCCAGAGCCATCACTGCCGGTTGTTTCAAGTTACAGAGGCCACCCCTGCTGTGCTGGAGCCTGGAAATGTTTCCATAGCCTGGTAAGGAGGGTGTGGTCCTCAGAGAGTGAGCAGACACATTCTGAGGAGACAGAAATGTGTTATTTGAGATCCTTCCTGTGGTCAGGGAGCTCCCAGTACTGAGGACCTAGGAGCCAACCCACGTTTATGGAGATGAGCCAACCTGCAGCAACGTAGGTATGAGGTGGCCCTAAGACCATGGGAAGGGGAGGAACAGAGAGTCCCAAATGATTCTCTGCTGGTAATGTGGGATGGTATAGGGGAGGTAACGTCTAGGAGGGAAAAAGAGAGGATAGAAGGCTGTGAAGCAAGAAAAATGAAGACAATGAGGATTATCTAGAATGTGTCCTTGCAATCTCAATCAACAAAAGACTGGGAAGGAAACAGGACTGGGCAGAAGGGGTTGGTCCCAACAAGGGCCTCTGTTGACCCGGCTGGGAGCTCTGGACTTTGGGTGGCCCCTCAGAGTTGGGGAGAGGGGATCCAGTCTCTGTGCACCCAGCAATGAGGCATTGGATTTATTCCTGGGCTACTCCTAGAAGAGGGGGTGACCCTAGGGAGGCAGCTCTCTTCAGCCAGCAGATCTCTAGGTGTGGGCAGGAAGGGCCACACTCCCAGCAACCGGAGGGATGAGTCTTTCATTCCTGAAGCGGGATGTGGCTGGCTCTTGATGGCGAGAGAAACTCACCCCAATTTTATTTGAATGGCACCTCTTAAAAGCCACCCCAACAAAGTGAGCTCTGAAGCAGGACTCTCTAGGAGGAAATGAATGGAAATTAAAAAGACAAGACCCAATTCAATGAAAATTCCCATAAAGGGAGAAGGAAGCATAATGTGGTTGGGTCAGAGGCCAGACATTCAGAGGTCCTGAGTCCAGCCCCAGCTCTCTCTCCTATCTCCTAGGTGAGCCTGATGAGAGAAACTAAACTTTCTCAAGCCTCAGTTTCCCTATCTGTAAAATGGGAGTAATAATACCTACCTGATGTGGTAGATTTGATACAAAGAGGAAATGTATACACTCCAATAGTGTGAATAGTTTGCAAATGTTTTTGGCTAAATAGCAATCACATTTTCATTATCCATTCATCCACTGATGAACACTTAGGTTGATTCTATGTCTTTGCTATGGTGAATAGTGCTGCAATAAACACGCAAGTATAGGTATCCCTCTTATATATTGATTTTTTTCTTAGTAGATACTCAGTAATAGCATTGCTGGATCAAATGGTACTTTCTCTTTTTAGTGTTTTGAGAAATCTCCATACAATTTTCCACAGTGGCTCTACTAGTTTACATTTCCAGCAAAAGTGTGTAAGAGTTCCCTTTTCTCCCCATCCTCGCCAACATCTGCTATTTTTTGTCTTTTTAGTAATAGCTATTCTGACTGGGATAAGATGATATCTCATTGTGGTTTTTATTTGCATTCCCCTGATGATTAGTTCAGCATGTTTTCATATACCTGTTTCCCATTTGTATGTCTTCTTTTTTAAAATTTAAAATTTTGTATGTGTACATAGTAGCTGTATATATTTATGGGGTACATAAGATGCTTTGATACAGGCATACAGTGTGTAATAATCACATCAGGGTAAATGGAGGATCCATCACCTCCAGCATTTATCATTTCTTTGTGTTACAAACAATCCAATTCTACTTTTAGTTTAAAATGTACAATAGATTATTATTGACTATAGTCACCCTGTCGTGCTATCAAATACTAGATCTTATTCATTCTAACTATATTTTTGTCCCATTTTCCATCCCCACTTCCCCCACCACTACCTTTCCTAGCCTCTGATAACCATCATTCCACTCTCTATGAGTTCAACTGTTTTAATGTTCAGCTTCCACAAAGGAGTGAGAACATGGGAAAAGTTTGTCTTTCTGTGCCTGGCTTATTTTACTTAACAACATGTCCTCCGGTTCCATTTACATTGTTGCAAATGACAGAATCTCATTCATTTTTATGACTGACTAGTGCTTCATTTTGCATGTGTATCACATTTCTTTATCCATTCATCTATTGATAGACACTTAGGTTGCTTCCAAATCTTGGCTATTGTGAATAGTGCTGCAATAAACATGGGAGTGCAGATATCTCTTCAGCATACTGATTTCCTTTCTTTTGGGTATATACCTAGCAGTGGGATTGCTGAATCACATGGTAGTTTTATTTTTAGTTTTTTGAGGGACCTCTGTACTATTCTCCATAGTGGCTAATATGGTTTGGTTCTGTGTACCCACACAAATCTCATCTTGAATTAGAATCCCCAAATGTCAGAAGAGGCACCAGGTGGGAGGTCACTGGATCACGGGGGTGGATTTCCCCCTTGCTGTTTTCATGATAATAAGTGAGTTCTCATGAGATCTGATGGTTTAAAAGTGTGGCACATCTCCCTTTGCTCACTGTCTCTCCTGCCGCCGTGTAAGATGTGCCTTGCTTCCCTTTCACCTTCTGCCATGACTGTAAGTTTCCTGAGGCCTCCCCAGCCATGCAGAACTGTGAATCAATTAAATCTCTTTTCTTTATAAATTACCAGTCTCAGGTAGTTCTTTATAGAAGTGTGAAAACAGACTAATACAGTGGCTATACTAATTTATATTTCCACCAGCAGTGTACAGGTGTTCTCTTTTCTTGATATCCTCACCAGCATTTGTGATTGCCTGTCTTTAGGATAAAAGCTGTTTTAATTGGGGTGAGGTGATATCTCATTGTGGCTTGGATTTACATTTATCTGATGATCAATGATGTTGAGTACCTTTTCATATACCTGTTTGCCATTTGTATGTCTTCTTTTCAGAAATGTCTATTCATGTCCTTTGCCCACTTTTTAATGGAATTACTTGGTTTTTTGGTTGTGGTGGTGGTGGTGGTGGTTTTTGTTTTTTACTGTTGAGTTGTTTGAGTTCCCTGTATATTCTGGATATTAGTCACCTGTCAGATGAATGGTTTGCAAATATTTTCTTCCACTCAACAGTTTGTCTATTTACTCTTTTGATTGTTTCCTTTGCTGTGCAGAAGCTTTTTGATTTAATATAGTTCCATTTGTCTGTTTTCATTTTTGTTGTTTATGCTTTTGAGATCTTAGTCATAAATTTTTTGCCAAAAGCAAAGTTCAGAAGAGTTTTCTCTAGGTTTTATTCTAATAGCTTCAGGTCTTATATTTAAGTCTTCAATTCATTTTGAGTTGATTTTGGTATATGGTGAGAGAAAGGGGTCCAGTTTCATTCTTCTGTGTGTGGCTATCCGATTCTTTCAGTACCATTTATTGAACAGGGTGCGGCTTCCCTGATATAAGTTCATACTGGCTGTGTCAAAGATCAGTTTTCTGGGTTCTCTATTCTGTTCCATTGGTTTGTGTGTCTAATTTTATAAAAATGCCATGCTGTTTTGGTTACTATAGTCTTGTAATAAGTGATGCCTCCAGCTTTGTTCATTTTGCTCAGGATTCCTTTGGTTATTCTGGCTCTTTTTTATTCCATATGAATTTTAAGATTGTTTTTCTAATTCTGTGAAGAATGACATTGGTATTTTGATAGAGGTTGCGTTGAACCTGTAGATTGCTTTGAGCAATATGGTCATTTTAATGATATGTCTTCCAACCCAGGAGCATAGGATGTATTTCCATTTGTTTGTGTCATCTTTAATTTCTTTCATCAGTGTTTTATAGTTTTTCTTATAAAGATATTTTACCTCCCTGGTTAAATTTATTCTTATATATTTTTGTAGCTATTATAAATGAAATTGCCTTCTTGATTTCCTTCTTAGTTAGATCATTGCTGATATATATAAAAGCTACTGCTTTTTGTATGTTGATTTTGTATCCTGCAACTTTACTGAATATATTTATCAAATTTAAGTGGGGTTTTTTTTTTGGTAGAGTCTTTAGGTTTTTCTAGATATAATATCATATCATCAGCAGAAAGAGACAGTTTCACTTCTTCTTTTCAAATTTGGATACTTTTTATTTCTTTCTCTTGACTGACTGTTCTGGCTAGGACTTCTAGTACTATGTTGAATAGGAATGGTGAAAGTGAGACTCCTTGTCTTGTTCCAGTTCTGAGAGCAAAGGCTTTCAACTTTACTTCATTCAGTATGATGTTAGCTTTGGGTTGGCTGTATATGGTCTTTACTATTTTGACTTATGTTCCTTCTATGCCTAGTTTGTTGAGAGTGTTTATCGTAAAGGGATGTTGAATTTTATCAAATGCTTTTTCTATGTCTGTTGAGATAATCATATGGTTTTTGTCCTTCATTTTGTTGGTGTGATGTGTCATGTTTTTTTATTTGTGTGTGTTGGAGCATCCTTGCGTCCCTGGTATAAATCCCACTTGATCACAGTATATTGTCTTTTTGATGTGCTATTGCATTTAGTTTGCTGGTATTTTGTTGAGAAATGTTGTATTTATGTTCATCGGGGATATTGGCTGTAGTTTTCTCCCTACACCACGCCCCCGGCCTTAAATAGCTGTTTATTGGCAGTGTGCTGGAAAGGGTGATGAAGTTAGCATTCACAGACGACATCACACACCACTGTCACGAGGGAAGCAAGAGCACAGGCAAGCCAACCTGGAGCCCCCGAGGAGGAGGCCCCCTCTTCAAGAGAATGTGGCAGGGGGCGGGGCCTGGAGTACTGGGGACAGCCTGGGGACGCCTCCGCTTGGTAGGCGTGGTTAGGCAATTGCTTTTGACATTTTAATCGTGCAATATTTGTTTGCCCTTTCCTATATCCTGAATGATATTGCCTAGATTTTCTTCA